CCCTGCCCCTTCCCGTGGCACCGGGAGACTCCGAGCATCTGGCTCCCTGCCCAGGCTGCGGCCCCTGCAGCGCTCAGGGGCTTGAAACCTGCACCTGAGCAGAGCTCAGCCATTCCCAGCGGCTTTTCCAGGGCTAGCTGGGAGCCGGGAGGTGCGGGGGGGCTGGGGGCTTCTGCCATCACAAGGGACGATGCTGCGACCACTGGGTGAGGAATTGGGACTTCCACGGAGGGCAGCCAAAGGAAACCCCGGACAGAGGCTCTCCCTGCCCCGAGACGTTTCAGCTGGTGAAGCTGGAGCCGGCCGAGGCCCAGCTGGAGCAGGAGGCAGGTCCTCAGCCGTGGCACCAGGACGTGGCTCCCCATGGCAGGGACCCGGCAGGGACCAGCACCTCCCTGATGTGGTTTATTCTGCAGATCCAGGGGTTTCCCCATTGCACCAGTACACAGACAGCAGAAAAACCTCAGTCCGAGACACGCTGGTGCCAGGGAGACATGGCATGAAGCCCTGGCGCAGTGCTGTCCTGGAGGGGCCAGGGGTGCCAGACAATACTGACGGTACTCCCCCAGCTCCTCTCCCTGGCCAGGCTCCTCCACGTCCTCGAGGTGGGCATTGCCACCGTGCCCTTACCAGTCCCTGCTGCCCTGTGAAGGACGGGCACCATGAGCAGGACTGCCATGCCAGCCTCCGGAGCTGCTCTGCCCCGCACCAGGGCACGGCCACCCCAAGAGACTGTAAGCCAGGATCCCACCGCCCAAGCACAGGTGCCCATCCCACCCTCTGCTCCATGGGTGCAGCCCAGGGGACCTGGCCTCACTTGTCCCCTCTCCTGGCGGGGAAGCGGCTGGATCTAGAGCACCCGGGGTGTCCTTCAGCACTGGTTCAAACAGCTCCACGTCCCCAGCATCGCTCCGGCTCTGTCCGGGCTCTCCTTGTGCCCACCGAGCCACCAGCTGTGCTGCTGGCAGAGAGGAGAGTCCCAGCCTGGGTGTGCGGAGGGCTGGGAAGGCAGCAGCTCTCAGAGCACGGACAGGTCATGGCAGGACTTGGAGCGGACTTTGAGGGCCACCTTGCTGCTGTTCCTGGCCACCAGCCTGTCGAGGAAGCGCCGGGCTCTCTTGGTGAGGCTCTCCTTGCGCTTCTGGCCTGGCATGGGGCGTGCACGGGCCTCCTTGCCCCCACGGCGCAGGCGGATCTGCCGCACCACCCCCTCGAAGAGCTCGGCCACGTTGTGCTGCAGAGCCGCCGACGTCTCGATGAACTTGCAGTCGAACACCACGGCACAGGCACGGCCCTCTGCAAGGGAAGGGCAGGGAGG